TTCTCCCCTTTCTCAGAGCCCGGCCACCGCAGCCCCAGGCCCCGGAGCAGCCCGGCCCGGGGAGGGACGAGCCCGGCCCGGGAGGAGTGACCCTCAGGCCTCGGTAACGGGAGGGAGCTGCGTCCTGAGCGCCCGCCACATGCCAGGTACGTCACACCCGCCCCCTTCACCCTGAGCGCGAACAGAGCGCGGAGACCGAGAGTGAGGGCGCGGGGCCAGCTCTGACCCAGCAGGTCCCCTGGACACTCAGAGTCCGTGGGTTGGAGGCCACGGGGACGGGTCACACAGGGCCTGGGGTCAAGGTGAAGACTTTGACCTTCACGGTGACAGCAGCAGGGAGCCCCGTGGTACGTGTTTCAGATGAATGAGGCGCGGAGGCGGGACTGTAAAGAGGTGAGCAGATGCCGAAACCGGTTTGGCTCAGTGGATAGAGGGTCAGCCTGCGGACTGAAGGGTCCCAGGTTCGCTTCAGGTCAAGGGCATGTACCTGGGTTGCGGGCACATCCCCAGTAGGGGGTGTGCAGGAGGCAGCTGATGGATGTTTCTCTCTCATCGATGTTTCTAACTCTCTATCTCTCTCCCTTCCTCTCTGTGAAAAATCAATAAAATATATTAAAAAAAAAAAGAGGTGAGCAGAATGGCCCTTCCTGTGGGGCCTGCCCGGGAGCCTTGAACTTGCTCTTCGCTATTTATAGAAAGACCGGTGGGGCCCAGGGTTTGAGACCACGCCAGACCCTGGCCAGACCCTGGTCAGACCTGCCGGGGTTGGGTTGGAGTTGCCACCAGCTCTGGTTAAGATTCAGGGGAGGGCCTGGCCGGCGTGGCTCCGTGGCTGAGCATCGACCTATGAACCAGGAGGTCACAGTTCAATTCCCGGTCAGGGCACAGGCCCGGGTTGTGGGTTCGATCCCCAGTGTGGGGCGTGCAGGAGGCAGCCGATCCATGATTCTCTCTCATCACTGATGTTTCTGTCTCTCTCTCCCTCTCCCTTCCTCTCTGAAATCAAAAGTATATTTTAAAAAAATATATTCAGGGGAGGGAGGAGCGTCCAACGTGGATGTTGACGCCTTGGAAATAGCAAAGGCAGGTTCGCCTGGAGGGAGCGATGGAGGCGGCATGTGGAGGCGGCGCCCGCCCCCACCCAGCAGCCAGGCAGCCCGCGCCATTTGCAAAGGGGCTGGAGGTCAGGACGCCCGGTGGTGACGGCGGCTTGCTGTCTGCGCACTTTGCTGGCCTGACTGGGACCGCGCCCTCACTTGGAATCACTGAGTCAGTTGCTGCTCCGAACAGCAAACAGCCAAGGCCCTTGGTCGCATGTAGCAAAGGCCCAGGCCAGACAGCTGGTTCCCTGGGAGATCACTGCGGTCGACAGCAGGGACCAGACGCCACGCGGGAGGAGCAGGGCCACGCGTGGCCGGGGCTCACGGGGCCGGGACCTGGAGTTAGAGACCCAGAGAGACGGCCCTGCACCTTCTCGCGGACGCGTGGGTCGGTCACCGCGGCCGGCCCAGCTGTGACCTCCCTGGCGTCCAGGTGCCAGCCTCCGGCTCAGCCCCCAGCCTGCTCCCCTCCCCGGCCGCGTGGAAGCCCTAGGGGGAGGTGCAACCGGCGCGTGGGTGGGTCCTCCTGGGCAGCTCAGTCGGCCGGGGCCAGGGGTCTATTTGACACAAATGAGACCACAGGGCAGTGGCCGCTGAGAGGGTGTGAGTAGGAGGCAGCACTGGGTATCGGGGTACCCACCGCCCTAGACTTGGCTTCACCTTCATCTTCAGCAGCCTGCTCCCCCTTCAGACGCCCAGGCCCAGGACCCTGGAGCTGAGGTGCCCCTCCAAGCATGGGCGCGTGCGCACAAAACCCCAGTGTTTAGGAGTTTTTATGGGGTGTCATTACACGGGCATGGCTGGTTAAGGCATTCTCCATGGAGGACTTTTTTTCCTCCTTTAAATATATGTTGATTTCAGAGAGGAAGGGAGAGGGAGAGAGAGGGAAACATCAGTGATGAGAGAGAATCACTGATCAGCAGCCCCCTGCACGTCCCCTACTGGGAATCGAGCCCCCAACCCGGGCCTGTGCCCTGACCGGGAATCGAACCCTGACCTCCTGGCTCATAGGCTGACGCTCAACCCCTGAGCCAAGCCAGCCGGGCGCCATGGAGGATTGAACTCACTCTCTGGCCTCTCCCCTCCCCAGAGGTCAGGTGTGGGGCTGAGTCGCTTCTGGTCACTTGCTTGTCTTCCGGCCACCAGCCCTCCCTGGAGCTCTCCAGGGCCCGAGCGAGGAGGCACCGCGTTGCCACACAAAAGACACCCTGACCCCTCCAGATCCCAGAGTTGTAGGAAAGGGGACCAACACCAAAGCGCTTTTTCTTAAAGGACCTGTGTTTGTTCCGAAATCTCTTCTAACACCAGCGTGTCTGGGGCCGCCCTGGGGCCGCCACATGCATCCCTCGGGCCGGGGACTGTCTCCTGGTCAGGCTCTCCATGCCCTCCCGCTGGAGACAGTGCTGAATGTTCCCGTCGAAAACCGGGGGGAAGGGATGAAAAACGCTGCTATGTTCTCACCACGGAACACGTGCCGCCGTTAGACGTGAATAAAGCACTTGAAATGCAGGCACTGTCGCCCTGACAATTGAGCGCCTGCTGCGCATGAAGGTCCAGAAAAGGCAGGTGTCTCGGGAGGAAGTTAGTGGTTCCCCGGGGCGGGAGGGGTGCGCATCGGAGGGATGCCCATGGCGCTTCCTTTGGGGGCGATGAAACTGTCCTAACATGAACTGGGGTGATCGCTGGACAGCTCGTGAATGTACTTTGAATTGTACACTTTAGAAAGGTGAATTGTGTGCTACATAAATTATATTTCAATAAAGCCGTTCAAAAACGAACAGATTAGCCCTAACCGGTGTGGCTCAGTGGATAGAGCAGTGATGGTGAACCTCTTGAGCTCGGGGTGTCAGCATTTTGAAAAACCCTAACTTAACTCTGGCACCGTGTCACGTATAGAAACTTTTTGATATTTGCAACCAGAGTAAAACAAAGACTTATATTTTTGATATTTATTTTATATATTTAAGTGCCATTTAACAAAGAAAAAGCAACCAAAAAATGAGTGCAAGTGTCACCTCTGACACGCGTGTCATAAATTCGCCATCACTGGGATAGAGCGTCAGCCTGTGGACTGAAGGGTCCCGGGTTCGATTCCGGGCAAGGGCACGTACCTGGCTTGCGGGCACATCCCCAGTGGGGGGTGTGTGCAGGAGGCAGCTGATCGATGTCTCTCTCTCATCGATGTTGCTAACTCTCTATCCCTCTCCCTTCCTCTCTATAAAGAATCAAAAAATATATATTTTAAGAAATGAACAGACCAGACGTAGATATCAACCCAAATCAGTCTCAAAAACGTAGAGAAAAGGAAGCGCACAGCATGACACCATCGGCGTGAAACTGCAAAACAGAAGATAACCACACAGGTCGTCTTCGTTAAGGACAGTTCTCCGCGAGGCACAAAAACCCGGATTGGAGGGCTGTCCATCACTGCAGTCTCCCCCTCCCTGGAGTTGTTTCCCTAATACTGTGGCTTGTCCGCCCATTGCTTGTGGTTCGTATAGACAGGAACGTAGACACGGGTGGTGAAGGCAGCGCTCCCGTTGTGAGTACGTGAAACACAGAGTTAGTAAAGCTACTGTCACAGCCAGAACCTGTGTGTCTCTCTCCATACGAACAACTGTGAGCCGACTTTTGCTCACCCTGCTTGTCTGTACTCTATCCCCTCCTTTCTTTTCATTTACTGATCGATTGGTTATCGAAAGGGAGGAGGGGGAGGGAGAGAGAAACACCGACTTGCCGTTCCACTTGTGTATGCATTCGTCGTTTGATGCTCGTACGTGCCCTGACCAGGGATCGAACCCGAATTGTGAATCGGGACGACACTCTAACCAACTGAGAGACCTGGCCAGGCCTCTCCCTTCCTTTCTTAAATGGTTAAAATACCATAATGCTTTCCTCTGCCTGACTCTTTCCATTTATCTATTTATTTTAAAGGATCGCTTATTGATTTGAGAGACAGAGGAAGGGAACAGAGAGAAACATCAATGTGAGGGTGTCACATCCATCGGCTGCCTCCCCCGCGCCCCCCTGGGGATCGAGCCGAAACTCAGGCATGTGCCCTGACCGGGAATCGAACCGGCACCCTTTCGGTGCCCGGGGTGACGCCCAACCAGGCCCTGCTTGACCTTTATGAACCCAACAGCGTCCAGAGGTCACCCTGAGGGACTTCGTGCCACGGTCCCGTGAGCTCCCGGGTGACCGCGTGCCTTCTGTGTGCCAGGAGGCGGCCCCGGGATGGACGACTACATGGAGACGCTCAAGGACGAGGAGGACGCGCTGTGGGAGAACGTGGAGTGCAACCGGCACATGCTGAGCCGCTACATCAACCCGGCCAAGCTCACGCCCTACCTGCGCCAGTGCAAGGTCATCGACGAGCAGGACGAGGACGAGGTGCTCAACGCGCCCATGCTGCCCTCCAAGATCAACCGCGCAGGTGAGCCAGCCGCTTCCGGGAAGGGGATGGGGACGGGGCGGGCGGGCTGCCCCTGGTGGCGGCCCCAGGAAACCCCTCCGGCTAGTGAGCCAGCATGAAGTTTCTCCGGGGCGGGAATTATTCAGCTGGGCCCACGGCCCTCTGCCCAGCCCTGCCCCCCACCAAGCGGTAGAACTGAGAGGGTCCCGGCCTCGGAGAGCGGGAAACGGTGTTTACTTTCCTACCCGGCCGGAGGGGAGCACCCCTCCGCTGACGGGTGGAGGCAGGCGACAAAGCAAGTGATTGGCGACAGCTGGGACGTGGTCACCCGTCACAATCACCGAGGTCTTCGTTTCCATTACCGCGGTCAGTCTCTCCACACACCGTTTACACTCACCGCTCCCTCGGAGTTAGAGTGGCCGTTAGATCTGCCGGGAGAGTGTGTCGCTTCAGGCATAAAGAAGCACATTTCTCACTGAGTCAGAACTTTGCTGTTTGAGAACTGTATTCTATTATAATTGATACCTGTGGAACCCAATGCGTTGTATCTGTTTAAGAATGCAGGGTGTCTCCAAAAAATGTGTGCACACTTGAACAGCTGACAGCTCAGTTTTGAAAAGGAAATGTGCTCTAATAAGCCCTACCTATATAATTATTCAAGGGGTATGCATACGTTTTGGGGACACCCTAGAGCCGCGGTTCTCAACCTGTGGGTCGCCAAACTGTGGGTCACGACCCCTTTGGGGGTCAAACAACCCTTTCACAGGGGTCGCCTAAGACCATCAGAAAACACATATATAAACAGTGGTTCTCAACCTTCCTGATGCCGCGACCCTGTAATACAGTTCCTCATGTTGTGGTGACCCCCAACCATAAAATTATTTTCATTGCTACCTCATAACTGTAATGTTGCTACTGTTATGAATCGTCATGTAAATATTTGATATACAGGATGTATTCTCACTGTTACAAATTGAATATCATTAAAGCATAGTGATGAATCACAAAAACAATATATAATTATATGTGTGTTTTCCGATGGTCTTAGGCGACCCCTGTGAAAGGGTCGTTCGACCCCCACAGGGGTCACGACCCACAGGTTGAGAACCGCTGGCCTAGAGTCTCCTGAGAAGGGGTCTGTCGGACTGCCTCAGGGCTGCCTGGCACTTTATCACATTCACTCAAGGTGCTAAGTCTGGTTGGTGTGTGTACTTGTCCTTGTGCGGCACACGGGGTCACAGGGCACATGTCTCTCTCTGTGGCTCACAGTTAAAAGGTTTGGAGTCACTTCCCCACAGCGTGATGGGTGCTAAAGTAGCTCGTGCACTGACTGTCCTTTGTGAACACGACACTCATCACCCATCGCAGCGCTCTCCTGCCGAGCGCGGCTGTCACTTCCAGCCCTGCCCCCCTGCGCCGG